GAGAAAGATTATTTAGATAATTAAACAGAAATATAACTTTAAGTGCTTCTAAGAAGCAATGTGGGGATTTTAACATGGCTGGGGAGAGGGGCTGAGACCACAGAGGTTCAGTGAAAAGGTTTCTTTTTTGGCTCACCCTTAACCCAGACTGGGATTCTATGCTTATAAACCTTGTTACTTACAAGCAGAGTGCATCCCCCACAGTTCTCCCAGCGAGTCTGACTCTTTAGGTCTTCCAATGAGCCAGGAAGAGATGACAGAAATAAATCTTATCATCAAGGAATTCTTTCTTATATCCAAAGCTTAGGTTGCTTCTTCTCTCCCCATTCTGCGTTTTGGTCATTGTCTTTTCACTGGGCACAAAGTAGCTGAGAAACTGCTGGTTTCTCTGCTCTTTCTGGGACACAACTTTACAGCAAAAATAGCTCCAGGATGCATAATCTGATTGTAAAAGCAATGTCTTTGCTTCACAGAAGCCTCACTTCAAAGTCTAGTCATGCAAGTTTCTAGCTGTGGGGCCTTAGGCAACCCTTAACCCCTCTCAAGTCCAGTTTTCTCAAGCAGAGAGAGTCTCTATTTGTTTCTCTTGGTAACTCTAGCTTTAGTACACCAGCTAGCAGTCAGAGCTCACTCAGTAACAGCTGCAGCTGTTGGTGATATCTTGGAAATTATCAATTTAAAGATTGATAAGAGAAAATTGGCGTGCACTTTGATATGACTCTATTTTACTTTACCTGTAGGTCTTCCCTAGCAATTATGCTCCTTAATTTATTTAAGCAAAGGCAGCAATTTGGGCCAACTTAATTAATTATTGGACTAGTGGGTAACTTTTCTGGAAGATAACTTTTAAATTATGTTAGTAGGAAAGGATTCTTTTTTTTTTTCCATTGGTACTGGGGATCAAACTCAGGAACTTGTGCTTGCCAGGCAGTTATTTAAGCCCCTGAGTATCTCCCCAGGCCTGAAATAAGTCTTATACTACATTATATAAATAACACCTTACAGTATGAACTAATAGAAAAGTCTTCTCGCACAACCACTTCTGAATTTTCAGTTCCATTCGTAAGGGTTATGCCTGTTAATCAGCTGGCATAACCTTTCCAAAAATATTGATGCATTTATATACATATAATATAGTTTCATTTGTGTCTTCTTTATAAAAATAAAATTACATATTTAAAAATGTTTAATCATTTATTTGTTTATTTGGTACAGGGTCTCCTTACAGAGCTTGGACTTGCAGTGTTCCTTTTGTCTCAGCCTCCCCAGCCCTGGAATTACAGGCAGGTACCACCGCGCCTGGTCTTGGGGAGCCCACACAGAATGTGGTACCGGGGATCGCGCCCAGGTCCTTGCACTTGCCTGGCAGGTGCTTAGCCTTTGAGCTGTCTCCCCAGCCCTGGAATTACATATTGATACCTAGTTCTGCATCTTCTTCTTTTGAACTTGGTTGGTCTGACCACATGTTCACACCACACTCTTCATGGTTCCAATTACTCCTCTGTATATGGATGTACTTGCTTGCAATGGACACAGAAAATGATGTAATTGTGTGTGTGTGTGTATTGCATACACATATGCACAAAATCGCACATGTGCATTTTAGCACCTTCTATCTGTGGAGTAGCTCCTAACCACTGTATTGCATTTCAAAAACTATGTAGACATGCTAGTTTCTTTCCCCTTAACAGTATGTTTGAACGTTTTCCTAAAATCCTTGTTTGCACTGGCTGTAACCAAATGATATTTCTTATATAATCTGATGGTGATACATTATACATTATATTTTACCAACTAGCCCATATAGCTGTTAGGGCTATTTAATGAAATAATTACCATAATTAAATAAATAGCATAAATTTTACACATAGTAGATCACAGGAATTTGTTATTACTATTGTTGTTAAAATATAACAATTGCATTCATGATTTTTATATGCACTCTGTAATTAATCTGAGATAATCAGATTACTTTAATTGTTACTCGTACCCTGATTACACAGGCCAGCTCTTTATTTAGTGGAGTGAAACTAAACTTTAACTGTAAAATCTTAAGTTACCCTTGAGTGCAGTGTCTTAAATCGTGAGCACTGAAGGATGGCAAAGGATCCCTTATTCTTTATGTAGGTGGATCTTGCCTGTGGATGTTCACTGCACTCGCCTGAGGGGTATCAAATGCGCCTACGCTCACACTGCCCGTAGTCGGGGATCTGGATTTAGTTGTTGGTGTTTGGACGGCTTCGATCTGTTGTACATGTAACAGGGCTTGAGAACTTGCAAGGCAGAGCAGCTCAGGCATTCAGAACTTTTAGCGCAGGGGAGCTCTGACACTGGAGGCTTTTGGTCTTACCCTGCCACCTCATCCCTCTGGAACCAGCCGGAGCCACTGTCCTTACACCTTGACATCCTTTCTCGTCTTCTGGGTGACAAATGGTGCAATATTTGAAAAGAGTGATCCCCCTTCCTTTAGCCTTCTCTTCTTTGGGCTAGAGACACCCAGTACCTCCAGTTCTAGGGAACAGTTGAGTTACCAGGCCCTCTTGTCATACAACCCCCAGTATTTGTTTAGAAAAAAGAATGATGGTCAAACTGTTCAGTGCTGTGACCCAGGCTCTGAATGCTGACTAATGTAGCTCAAATAATGGAAAATTTAAAAGCCAAATAATGAAATGGCCTCACAAGGGCAGAACCACATATTAACATAGCTCATTAAGTGACCTGTTGGATAATCAACATTAGGATACCATGATAATTTAAAAAGAACAGCTATCTTCTGAGTTGCTCCTCAAAACAATTCTGTGATCTGCATGTTGTTCCTATCACCCTTGTTTTACTATAAATATCAGAGAACTTTCACAGTTTGGGCAAATTCAAAATCACTGTAGTAGAATGTAGAAAGCTAATCCAGGATTTATTGGCATCAAATCCCTGCTGTTTCATTTTTCTATCTGAATATATGTGAAGATAATTAGGAAAAGCACTATTAGTTTACTAATATACCCTAAAAACTAAGACTGACTGCTCTTGGCTACTTCAGAGTTAGTTCTGAAAGTGTTCTGTGTGAGGACTTCTGACTGATGGCAAATCCTTTAACAAAATTTGATTAATCAGTATTTGTAGTGAGAAGCCAAAAAAGGGGAGAGTGAGACAGTGCCCAGCTGTGAACTCGGCTGCTCATTCCCCTTCTCCACAAGCTGGTGCTCCCTGAGTAACTGCAGCCTCCCACTCCTTTCTTCCCCTGGAATACCCAAAGGCCTGACTTACAGTGATGTGAAAGAGCTCATTCTAGCTGCCTATGGTGTGTCCTCTGTGTACAGCCTGCACATCTGAGGTCTAATGATGAACCAAGTGATCCTCTCAGTGCATGTTGCTACAGGTCAGTGAGCTTTGTAAACACCCTGGACAAGATGTGGCTCTAGTCCTGCAAAGTCAATAATAATTTTGCTTCTCTTTGTAGAGCTTCCTTAGTGTCTATTGCCCATCAAAACAACTGTAAAGTGTTTTGCACTGCCAAGGACCTTGGAAAACCAAACCACTTATTGGTATTGTCATAGCAACAGGGATATGGATGGCATCGTTGAGGTTGACTGTGGAGAAAAAAGAAAGGAAGAGGAGATGCAGCACAGAGGGAAAATTGCCTTGCTTCAATGCCTCAGACTCTGCATGTAGTAAGCATGGTGCCCTATCTATCAAAACACTAGAAACAAATTAAGCAAAACATTTTGATTATTTCCTGTATGCAGCATTCTTTGCCTAACACTGAAGACAGAAAGGAGACACAGACCCAGGCATAAAACTGTGGCAAGCTAGCAGATGTGCCAGTAGGAATTATGATAGGCCCCCTGCTGGGTGGTTAGAAAATCTGTGATCACGTGAAACAGTTCTTAGGATATTGAGTTTATAACTGCAACTACTTTTTTCAAGTAGAAGATGATTTTGTTTCTGACATGTCCTAGGGCTGGAAGAATTAGGAAGTAGGAAGTGTTTCTTTAGAGAGTTAAAGCTGAGGATGATACATTAGCCTGCTTAAAAGTGACTCAAGATGTTACTTAGAGGCAGGCAACAGGAACCTCAGTGGCAGTCATTAGAGAGTTGAGCTTCCTCAGACATGTTCTTCTCTGAGGGGTTCAGGTCAGGCTTCAGGGAATTGGCAGGAATCTGTACAACAATATTTCATTGCAAATCCAAGAATACAGTAAACAATCAGGTTACTGTGGAGGGGACTTTACAGCCTCCTGATACCATTTGAGACAGGGAGAAAGATAGCAAAGAAGGTTGCTGCTCTATGAAAAGTCTGCAGGGAGCTCTAAATGCTTCCTGGTCTCTGTCACTTGCCTTGATATAAATTCTAATTAAATCCAGGGGCTGCAACCTAGAGATCCCTCAGGGCTGGTGAGCTGCACTGTATATGAAACATTCATTCTGTCTTAGGTCTTTCTCAGCCTTCTTTTTCCTTCCATGCTCAGTTCATAGGAGTGCCAGGCTCTGACAGTAGCAGCAGCTAGGCGGAGCTCCTCCTAGGGTGCCTTGTCTGTGTGACCGAGCAGGCTGTCCGGACCGTGGGTGCTGAGAGCTCTGCTTCCTCCCACTGCACCAGGTCCAAGGCAGATCACTTGAAACTGAAGCCCTCTCTGTGCCATTGTGGGCCCATGCTGATCCTACTGTGGTTCTTTACCAGCAGTGGCCAGCTGGGACAGCCAAATTGTTCAGAAAGGGTTGGCCCGAGCCCCCAGCAATAGCCTCATGGTGCACTCCCTCATCATTCAAATGGAGTCCCCAGCTGGCTAAGACCCCAACTGCCTTTTCTGTGAAGATCCCCAGGGCTAGCGCAGAAACCCTGCCAGCTCCCTGCCTTTGATGGACCACAGCATGAAGCTATGCAGTTCCGGGAGCATCAGAAATAAGAAACCAGAAGAAGAAATGTAAGAAAGCCATGAGATGGTGCGATGCACATTTTATGCCTCCTTATTTAGCCCTCTCTACCAATGAATGAAGACGCATTGAGCTTCATCAGCCAACTGGATTGGATGCTCACTAGTAGCTGTGTTCTATTACAGAAGCATATCTATAGGTTATTCTTAACTGGGGCTGAAATACCAGCAATTTGCAAGCATAGGCTATAAAAGCTTCACCTCCCTCCAGTACTGCCACCTGCAAATGAGTGG